TGTGCTCCAAGATGCTGAGGAAAAACAGCAAAGTGAGGCAGCAGTACGGGAATGGCTGCAGGAGCTCAAAGACGTTGCTTATGATATGGTGGATGCATTGGATGAGGTTGCATATGAGGTGCTCCGACATCAAGTAGAGACTCAAAACCAAGCGAAACGGGTGCGAACCTTCTTTTCCCCCTCAAATCCCATTGCATTTCGTTTCAATATGGCTAATAAAATTAAGAAGATTATTAAGTCTCTTGCTAAAGTAAGAGAGGATGCAGTTTTTCCTCTTCTTACTAGAAACAAAAGCCCCCGGTTTGGCCAATCCAGGTTTGATACTCACTCCTTTCTAGATTCAAAATTTGAATCAAGAAGGGATGAGGATGTCACAGAAATTGTTAACTTGTTGACTGAACAAAGGAGTTATCAGCATCCCATCTCTGTAATTTCTTTGATTGGCATGGCAGGAGTTGGAAAGACAACTTTAGCAAGACTGCTATACAAAGAAATAGAAAAGAGAAAAATGTTTGACGTGGTAGCATGGGTGTGTGTTTCTGATGATTTTGATGAACAAAAAATTTTAAATGGGCTTTTGGAACATATTGATCCTAGTGCTGGTGGAATAAATAATATGAATGTTTTGCTCAAACAACTAGAAGAAAAAATAGAAAAGAAAACTTTTCTTCTTGTTCTTGATGATGTGTGGGAGGATAATTCCAATACTTGGGCTACTTTTAGTGATCTTTTGTCAAAATTTGTGAAAACTAGTGGGAACTCCATTGTTGTAACCACTCGTAAAGAAGGGGTGGCATCATCCATAGCCAAGTATCTTCCTTTGCATAGACATCATCTAAAAAGGCTATCAGATGATGATTGTTGGTTGATAATAAAAGAAAAGGTTTTTGGATCTACAGAGGCATCCATACCTGATCAGCAGTTAGAGGCTATTGGTAGGGAAATTGCAAAAAAGTGTGGAGGCCTGCCATTAATTGCAAATGTTTTGGGGGGAACAATGTGTAATGTAAAGGGAGTAGCTGGGTGGTTGTCTATAAAAGATAAAATTGTTTGGAATTTAGAAGATTTTGATCAGATAAAATTTGTACTTAAAGTGAGTTTTGATCATTTGCCTTCACATTTGAAGAAATGCTTTTCCTTTTGTTCAATTTTTCCAAAAGATTTTGATTTTGAAAAAAATGATTTAGTTCAGCATTGGTTGGCCCAAGGATATCTTCATTCATCTAGTCAGGAAATGATGGAAGATATTGGGAACAAGTATGTTAGTGATCTAATATCTAACTGCTTGTTCCAAGATGTAGAGAGGGATAAATATGGGAACATCATATCCTTCAAGATGCACGATGTGGTGCATGATCTTGCCCTGTTAGTTTCAGAAGGTGAAACATTGATTTGGAAGAATGATTCCATCCATGAAAATTCTTGCATTCGACATCTGAAGGTTCCATCTAGTGCAGTAGTGGATACAACTATTTTGAGAGGTGTAGCTCCAAAGTTGCATTCATTGTTCTCAGAGGTTGATTTCTGCAGCATGTCAAAGATGGATCTTAAAAGCATACGGTCTTTAAGTTTAAAGAAAGCAGATGGTGATAAACTACCAGTTTCTCCAAGCAAATTGAAGCATTTGAGATACCTTGAGATCTCAAAAGCTAAAATCAGGGTACTGCCAAAATCCTTCTCCAAGCTTTATAATTTGCAAACCTTAAAATTGATGGACTGCTATCATCTTCAAAAGCTTCCTGATGGAATGGAAAATCTGATCAGTTTGAAGCATTTTTACTTTGACCAAGAGAAGCTCATGCCAAGAAATATTGGGCATTTGACTTCCTTGCAAACCTTATCATTATTTGCTGTGGGCAAAGAAAAGGGATATCATATTGAAGAACTTGGACGCTTGAGTCAACTTGGAGGAG